TACTTTGGTGCAAACATTATTTGAAATTCATGCATAGGTTTTTCATAATCCACATGTTCACAAATTTTTTTTGAAGTTTATATAGAACTATATGTATATATATATAGAGCAACTGGTGAGCTTGAGCCTTTGAATATACATATATATATACATGTATATATATATACACAGTATAGTGAATTTCCCTGGTTTTACTTTTCTAGAGTACCCAGCCTAAGGCATAGGTCAAGAAGGCTTCCCTGATTTAGTAACACTTGAGCTGAGATCTGAAGAAGAAGCAAGAATTTTTGGAAGAGTGGAGAGGTTTCCAGGCAGAGGTAACAAGTGTGTGCAAAAGCTATGAGGCCAGAGGAACATAGCCTAATCAAGATGCATAAAGAGTTAGCCTAAAATGTTCTCTGCAGATTACATAATTATGATCAGCATGTTTATATGAATGGGAAGATGGTTGGCACAGGTCACACAAGGATATTGACACTAAATATAGAAAATGTTACAGAATACTAAACAATGTTGTTGCTGCTGTCAGTTGCTATCATGTACTACAGAATGAAACACTACCTGGTCTGGCACCATACTAGAGTTGTTGCTGTATTTGAGCCTATAGTTTCGGCCACTGCCAATCCAGCTCATTCAGGATTTTTCTTTTTGCTGACCATGCATGATGTCCTTCTCTAGGGATTGGTCCCTCCTAATAACAACGTTATTGTTAGGTGCCTTTGAGTCAGTTCTAACTCATAGCTATCCTATGTACAACAGAACGAAACACCGCCTGGTCCTGTGCCATCCTCACAATTGTTGATATGTTTGAATCCATTACTATTACCATTTTGTCAGTCATTGGGGTCTTCTTCTATTTTGCTGACCCTCCACGTTTCTAAGCATGATGTCCTTCTCCAGGGACTGATCCCTCCTAACCACATGTTCAAAGTACAGGAGGTGCAATCTTGACATCTTTGCTTCTAAGAAGCATTCTGACTGTACTTCCAAGACAGAATTATTTGTTCTTCTGACAGTTCATGGTACTTTCACTATTCTTCTCCAACACCATAATTCAAATGCATCGATTATTCTATGGTCCTTCTTATTCATTATCCAACTTTCACATGCATATGTGAAATACCACCACTTTGGTCAGGGGCACCTTAATTCTCAAAGTGACCTTTTTGCTCTTTAACACTTTAAAGAGATGTTTTGCAGTAGACTTGCCTAATGTAATATGTTGTCTGATTATATGACTGCTGCTTCCATGAGTATTGATTATGGATCCAAACAGAATAAAGTCTTTGAAAACTTCAGCCTTTTCTTGGTTTATCATGATGTTATTTATTGGTCCAGTTGTAAATTTGGGGGATTCTTTATTCTTTACATTGAGGTGTCATCTTTGATCTTCATCAGTAAGTGTTTCAAGTCTTTTTAACTTCCAGGAAGCAAGTTTGCATTATCTGCATATTTGTAGGTTGTTGATGAGTCTTCCAATTCTGATGCCACATTCTTCTTCATATAATCCAGTTTCTTGGACTGTTTGCTCAGTATACATATGGAATAAGTATGGTGAAAGGATATAGCTCTGACATATACTTTTCCTGATTTTAAACCATTCAGTATCCCTTTGTTCTAACAATTACTTATTCGTCTATGTACAAGTTCCTCATGAGCACAATTAAGAGTTCCGAAATACTCATTCTTTGCAATGATTTCAATATGATAACAGTAGCCAACTTTATACTTTTGAATTGTTTGCTTCTTCATGATTCCTACTGCTGTCAAATTGACTCTGACTCATGGTGACCCTCTAGGACAGGGAAGAATGTAAGTTTTATGTAATCTTTATGAAAGTAGACTGAGCCATTTCTCCTATGGAGTGGTTGCTGGATTCAAACTGTTGACCTGACCTTTACATTAGTTTCCAGGTGATTAACTGCTGTGCCACTTGGGCTCCTTTTATTTGTGATTAAAGATTTTAATCTTAGAAAACCTGAAATAGCAGTTCTCAAACTCTTCAGATTAAGGGCCTTAAAGAGTTTTGTTTTTTTTAATGTGAATCATAACTTTTGATAATTACCATGTTAAAATCAATTACTAAATCTATTCATTTGTTAATACCTCTAAAATGACAATAAACTTTCTATATATGTTAATATATAGAAACTTTTATGAAAAGTACTTTGCAAGACAAAAAAGCAAAAATAGTGTTACTGTTTTATACCTTTGCAAATTTCTTTAATGTCTGGATTAATAGAAAACAGCTGGATTCTCATATTTGCTTCTGTTTTTCAGTAGTTGGAAAAAGAATATTTTAATACCATTTTCAGATAATTGTGGATACTTTTCCACTTGCCAAACCTTGGCAAATGGTAGTTTCTTAATGACTAGTTGCAATCTGAACTGTTAGTTGGAATCTGAAAACCTTATCAATGAATTTTCTTTTCTTTTAAATTGTAGTAAGACTATACATTACAAAACATTTGCCAATTCACTAACTCTTATATTTTCAATAACTATTTGTTCTTTTACATGAAAATCTATTGTAAGAATGGAGTATACATTGGAAGTACTGGGGCTTTGGGTTCAGGCCACAGAAATAAAGTATCGCAATAAAGCAAGTGGCACTGTGTTTTTGTTTGTTTACTAGTGCATATACAAGTTCTATTTACACTACACTGCAGTCTATTAAGTGAGAAGTAGCATTATGACAAAGTCTGAAATATTGTGAGTGTTATCAAACTGTGACCCAGAGACACAAATTCAGTAGATGCTTGCGAGATATTGGTGCCAGGCTGCCACAAATCTTCAGTTTGTAAAACCAAAAAACCAGAGTATCCACAAAGTACAAACTGAAGTGTAATAAAATGATGTATGCCTACATAGATTAATGTGGGGGTTAAGGAAGATCATTTGTAGGGAGCAGTAAAGCCTAGAGGTTGCAAAGTCCTGAAAGTTGATTGAAAGCATGAAGAAGACCAAGCTTAGAGCATCTGAGGTCAAGAGATAACAATTGAAACAACAGAAGCAGTGCCTCAAAGGTTAAGAGTTGCAAGTTCTAGACTGTAATAGAATATAAGAAAATATGTTAAAAGTGTGAGGGCTCCTACAGTCATTACCAACTGAAAAGGATTCACTTAGAGCCTAAGATGTTGATAACTCTGAGTGGCAAAACAACAATAACAAAAACAAAAAAAGCCCAAAACATTTTAAATAAGGAGGGCTAGGTCTGGGAGTAATAAATTAAAACAAAAACAAAAACTGTCCTGGTGTGGTGCTGTGGGTTAATGCTCTGGACTGCAAAGTCAATTTGAACCGCAAGGTTGGCAGTTCAAGGTCACCAACTGCTCCTCTGAAACCCTATACAGGATTGCTATGTGTCGACAGCACCTTGACAGCACTTAACAACAGAAACAGACCAATGAGTAGAAAAAGTGGAGTGAGTTAGCATTTTTTTGAGCACTTATTATATGTCAGGAGCTTTGCCGAGTACTCTACTTCTTATTTAATTCTGGATAACCACTCAAGAAAGTAGTAGCAACCTTTTCCATTTTATAGGTAAGACATCTGGGGCTTTGATTTTGAGGTAGTACAGGTGGGTCAGGTCTAGATCATATTAGCAACGAAACACAGAGGGGCACATTTTAACACAAGACAGTTAAAATGAGGAGCTTTCAAAAGTTAATGTAATATCTAAAACAAAAATGGCAGTTTGATAGGCTACTATAAGAACAAGCAAGTTGTTCACTGGGGAGCCATCAAGGCAAGAAATCAAGTCCCTTCAGGACAAACCTTCCTCCAAGACTGAAATTCAAAGGGAACACATAAGCAGGCATGTAAGCTTGCTGGCGACCAAGTAGGTCTACTGGTGAGTGGAAGTGGGGGAAAGGCAGCAATAAAGATTTGGGCTGAGTTTGGTCACATTTCATAGATCCCCGTCGACTTGAAGATGAGAGAGAGAAGAGGAAGGGCTGGTTGGTCTGAAGTGTGGTGAGACCTGGGGACTCCTGAGCCCATGGACAACAACGTAGCCACCGAGGTCTAGAGCTGAGAGTGAAATGTCCAGCTGATATGAAGTGAAGAGAGAGGCACAAGAATGCCCAAACTTGCAGATAGTACCCATTTGATCTAGCTTTGATGGCCTGATGATCACAACTGGTCTAGAAGAAGATTTAAAAAAACATGATAAAGGAAACAAGTATAAATTGCTACAATTTGATGAACTTGACCTATACTTATGCATGCAGTAGCTCAAAATACCAACTGAGAGGGAAAGAGTCTTCACATCAAGTATCAATCCTATCCCCTCTGTACACAGGATTGATAGGCATGGGCAACTTAACCACTGGCTACCTAAAATGGGTAGCTAGAAAGGCACGAAGTAACTGGCTTACAAGTTTTCAAGATGGAGTTTAGTTTCAGAGTGTGCAGGGGAAGGTAGAATCCCCACTGAATAGTTTTCATCTTGTCCAGATGGGTCTGGTGAAAGGAGATGTGGATAAGATTCTTAAAATTCAATAGTAAGTAATTGTTAACATGACTAATTGCTAGTGTCACAACTGTAAAGGTAGAAGTTTTACCATCAAGGGAGAAGAGCACAAGCAGAATGTAGGACCCTATCCACAGAAGCAGTGATACAAGAGATGGAGGCAGAGATGATGGCACAGAAAGACAGAGCAGCTAAGGACTCTAGACTTATGGAAAGAAAAAGGCTGTATGCTGATGGCCAGGAGACAGGCTCACAGAGTGTGCTCTTTGGTGTTTAAATGATTGCATATTTTTGAATGTTTTGTGTACATTAAAAAACAACAACAGAGGGAATAGAAGCAAATACTGTTGAATGATGATGCATGGAGTGTACTGTAATCATTGCAATGAAACGAAATACGATAGGATGAGTGTAAAATTGATGCTCTCCCATGTAAACTATCACTCAATTCACAGTAAAAACTTAAAAAAAAAAAGTTAACGTAATATAATAAATTAAAACAAAAACAAAAACCAAGCAAACCTACTCTTGGACCCGGTGTTCCAGGTGGACCCTATAACAAAAAAAATTAAAAATATATATTTAGTACACATTTAAAACAAAGCAAGCATATAAACAGAAATGATAAATAGATATAAAATTAAATAAACTCACCGGAGGCCCAGGTTGACCCCTTGGTCCTTGGGGACCCTGGAAGAAATAGAGACAAGGCGCCATGTGAATATTATGCTTTTGTTTGGCATGAACAAGAAACCAAAGAGTCAACTTGTATCACTGGTCTTTTTGTATAAAGCAAGTCATAAGATTTCAAACTTGTTTTTATACTTAAGCAGTCATATGTTCTTTCACTTAGGTATTACTCACATTCATGAACAAGCAGATATGTACTTCCCTGTTTTACAGATATTACTAGAAATGGAAATTATTCATTGTAAATGTGGTGCTATAACACCAGCACTGGACTACGAACCACAAGGTCAGCAGTTCAAACCCACCAGCTGCTCCTCGGAAACCCTTTACAGTGTTGCTACAAGTCAGAACCAACTTGATGGCACTTAACAACAACAACAACAACATTGTAAATGTAGCATTTAAAAATGTCAATACTAAGCATGTTTTTCCTGTGAATCCTGATCATCAAAAATAAAAACTTCAAAATATTCTTTGGTGCCACTTCCCTTTCTTTCACCATTCACCGATAAATTGGTGACTAAATCCTGTTCATTTTACCTCCAAATCTTTCCCAAATACTTTTCTTGGTTTCCACCTCCATGGCAGTAGGAACTATATGAGTTTAGTGCAATCCCTTTCTGTCTGGATTCCTATTTTGACTTGCTGTTTATTGTTTCCACTGTGCTATAGTGCTGGCTTCCATTATTGAGGATTCACTCTAAGCTGTGTGCTAGGTTTCTGTTTAGAGTTAAGAAAATGGAACAAATGAATAAGGAGCAGAACCCAAACCCAAGCCAAACCCACTGCCATTAAGTCAGTTTCAATGTCGCAGTTGTTAAGTGCCATCAACTCATAGCAACCCTGTATATAGGGTTTCCAAGGAGCAGCTGTTGGGTTGGAACTGCTGACATTTCAGTATACAGTTCAGTGCTTATTCTACAGCGCAAGACCCTATATAGGAAAGAGTAGAACCGCCAGTTAGGGTTTTGGAGACTAAATCTTTACTAGAGTAGACAGCCTCATCTTTCTCCCATGGAGTGGCTGAGAGGTTTGAATCACCGACCTTGGGGTTAGCAGCCCAGTGCTAAGCCAACAGAACCACAAGGGCTCCTTTAATAAGGAGTAGAGCTAGGATTAAAATCTAACTAAATTAGATACAAAAGTATAAGTTCTGAGTCACTTTGCACCATTGCCTCCTCTCCAAGGTTCGGTCTTTTCATTTACTTTCCCTAACACACCCAGCACTCCACAGATAACCAATTACTCATAGACCTCAGAATCTTCCAAATTATTTTAATTATGCATGGCTCATGCAAATACTATTTCCTTGACCAGGAATGTGCTTCCCTAATTTTTCTATCTGTTGAACTTACATTCCTATTCTAATACTTCTTTAAATCTTTTACCTTCCTTGCTTGCTTGGCACCCACCTCACCTGTCCCTTGCTCACCTAATCACCTTTTCCTGCATCCATAGTACCAACTCATTGGAAAATCTCTAAAGAGCCTTAAGGTATCTTGTTGTTGTTATGTGTCGTTAAGTTAGTTATGACCCATATCAACCCTGCATAGTGTTTCTGAGGAGCAGCTAGTGAGCTTGAACCACCGACTTTGCCGTTCAAACTGACTTTGAAGTCCAGTGCATTAACCCACAGTGCCACACCAGGACTCCTAAGGTATCTTAGTCATCTTTTTATTGTCTGGAAAGAGAACAGTGCCGTCAACTCAGTTTCGACACAAAAAGACACGATAAAGGGTTTCTGAAGATCAGCTAGTGAATTTGAACATCTAACCTTGGAGTCCAATGTTAATCCTACTGTGCCACACCAGGAGTCTTACTACAAAATAGGAATTTAGTAATTGTTATTGAAATATTATATAAATTAATAACATTAAATTAATTGGTATTAATTCAGAAATTGTTGTTGTTTAGTGCCATTGAGAAATTAAGCAGTTAAAATGTATATAATGAAATACCAAGTTACATTAACATTTTGAAAAATGAAATATTGGTGATTGCTTTGAATGTCTGCTCCAAAACTACACTTACTTGATAACCAATTGATTATTAAGAACATATGGAGTCAAACTCAGACTATGGTTAAGCGATAAAGCAAAATTTATTTTCAGCTGAGCTTGTAAAATGTTGATGCTATGCCTGACTTAGTATTAAGCAATCCTGAATATACTGTGTGAGTTAGAGCAAACAATATATAGTTACTTAAAAAGGGTAGAATACTCCAGCATCATGCCTACTGGATATTTCTTGGTTTGCATAGTTTGGTTTGTGATTACAATTTTAAGCAGAGAATGTATAAAACTTGTACCACAGAAGCTGCGTGATAAGTTATAGAAATTTCATCCTTAAATATACAGAGGCTGAATGAATTTGGCTATGTTTCTGGATCAACATTCTAAAAATAATAAACGATTATGACATTTCACTTCATTGCACATTTCTGCCATTTACAAAACCTCACTGATGCTTAAGTACAAAATTTATATACTATTTTTTATTCTGAAAGAGGAGGTTATTACAGAACAGGAAGAAATTATTCCTACTGCTGATTTTATTGGGCTCATTTCAGTTTGTTTACCTATAACAAGTCAGATCATCACAAATATAGTGGAACGAAATATTTCAAACCCAACAAACAAAGCGGGCAATTCAATGGAATAACTTCAAAGAATAAGACAAGCAATCAGGGAAAACAAGATATGCTTCCAATAATGTGACATTTTATTACTTGTAACACACCTTCAGGAAGAAATGATAACTCCTTCTATGTAGTATATAAAGTGATTTATAATAAAACTGTGCTTGTCATGTTAATTTCTTAATGGAAATCCAAATCAGTGTGAAAGGTTATGGTAGTTATTTGGCTAGGAGAAAGCACTGACTTTGAATACATATTCTTTCTTTACTTACCCTCAGAATTTACATATAATTCAACAAAAGTGGCATATTTCTTTCAACTTTAAAGTTACTGATGTTGTTATTCATTGTGATGCAGTATAGGGTTTCTGAGGAGCAGCTGGTGGGCTTTCTGAAGATAGTTACTGACAACACACATAAAAATTTGAGTGTGTTAGACTTTGCCTTTATGTAAATGCTATTGATTTAGCTTCATGGTCTTTATTTGAGGCTGGCTTAACATGGCTTTCAGTTGCAGAGAGCTTCCCTTTTCTCATTTATAAATTTAAAAGTTTACATTGTAGGATGTTTCACAGGCAGCATACTTGTCCTCTATTCACTAGATGTCATTAGCAATTAACCACTTTTCCCCAGATGTGACAACCAAAAATGTCTTTGTTTTGCTCTTGCTAATTGCCATGAGTCGGTTCCAACTCATAGTGACCCTA